TGTTGATAGTCTCGATATTGTGAAACAACTATATCTTAAGTGCTCATACGAGCGACACTAGCGACACTGAACTTTCAAAACGTAACGGATTCAGAAATTTCAACACTAGTTTCGGATTCAGAAATCGATTCTGCCGCATAACAAAAAAATGTTATGGCAAGGCCATGTTACACTCCAACTTCCATACATTATGCTACTGAATCATACTCAATACTGTCAAAATGTCATGTATTTGTTGTTAATTCAGGCGTTTTACACGTAAACTGCAACGTCACTCGTATGTTATGGAGCTGAGTCAGAAAGACCCAGTTATCTAAGATCGTGTGCAATGTCTAGATTTGGTTTTCTATCTGACAACCTGAGAAAAACCGTTTGATTGCACATCAACCACTTGGCTTTTGTCAATGTTTGGTATGAAAAGTTCTTCACAACATGACCTTGCCACATCATTTTTCTGTTATGCGGCAGAATCGGTCCCTCAGACATATATTTATAAGATTCTTTTAAACTGCTTAGTATTATCTCCTTAGTGTTGCCATATAGGATAAACTCATGTCACCGAGAATAGCTATTACACTTATAGAAACCGTAAATACAAAAGAACAGACTAAATATAAGATATAAATAAATACGCAAAATAATCTTAAAAATTATTTATGCCTTATTTGTCCCCCGACATACATGACAACGTCGGATAAGAATTATTCATGCACATGTCCGGTCTAAAAATACACTGGTCGCCATATTCGAAACCTGTCAACACATCACCAAAACACACCAAACAAAAAACGAATACACACTTTACTTTTGCAAACATTATTTATAAATGATTGTTTAATAAAAAGCATTGGCCATCGTTAAAATCGTGAACTAAACTGATTGCAATATATTCGATCATAGGAAAATAACAAATAACAAAATTCGTTGTAAACAAATTACGTAACGGTTTCAAATCTTTTGCGGACGCGGTTGTGCAAATATTATTATTGTTTAGTTAATAACTTTTTCATTCATTGATATTGTTAATGAAAATAGACAGCGATTCGGTAACAGACATTTTTAATTTTATTTCAAAGTTTTGTGTTTTGTGTGTGTGTGTTGTGTGTGTTCATTGTTTTAATTACATAACAATGTTAATTTTTTGTGTGTTCTTGGTATGATGACACATATACAGTATCGAAACGTACAAAAAAATTCGAGTATTGTTTTTTTTTGTAGGCAGTTTGACATGCCGATATTTGTTTTTCATTCTCTAATATCTGTTTTGAAATATAGATAAGTCTTATCTATACGTACAAGATAATTCTTGTAATTACAATTTGAATAAACACTTCGCAATATTTCTGAACAACTTAGTTAATATTAATATGTCTATCAAAATTTCTATTTAAAATTACTTTGTCCTTCGACAGTTGACAGTTTCTAAAAATGGCGACTAGTGTAATTATTTTAATCCTGATATTACATATGATTGTAAAGTAGTTATTTAACTCTTTAAATAGATTTAAAAAATAAAAATCATTATACTAAGCTTTTGGAAATATATTTATTATTAAATTTAGTTCTATTACTATTTGATTGTTAATAAATGGTTGCCAATTTCTAAAAATGGCGACGAAGCCAGTTTGGTCCTGGTAGTTAAAAAATCATTCAAAATTATAAAATACATTTTTTAAGGAATCAAATAGATGTAACAGCGATTTATGAACAATATTATACCTATTGACAAGCCCTGCAAAATATATTCAATTATAAATTGGGTTCTATTAATTTTGATTCTTGACAGTTTTAAAAAGATGGCGGCATATGTTTTTTGATCCTGGTAATAAAATTTATTATTGAACATTATAAAGTACATTTTTCACTAATCAAACAGATGTAACAACGATTTATATGCAATAGATTACCTATTGGCAAGTCTACAAAGTATATTAAATTACAAATTGGGTTGTATTAATTTCGGTTATTGACAGTTTCCAAACATGGCGCCTTATGCATTTAAAATCCTGGTGTTTGTAGCAATTTTTTTAAATCTAAATAAATTTTAAAAATGTCTTCACAACTTTCTAATAATTCCACAAGCTCTTTTATTATTAAAAACATATGTATAAATAATGTAACAGCTGTTTAAACAATATAGTAATCTACGCAGCAGTGTTTGAAATCATTCTCCGACGTTGCGAATTAGTTTTGCAATAAATATTTACAATTTACAAACACCAAGAGCAAGTGTCAATGGTCATGAAAAATAAATAAAAAATTCGTAAAAAAGATTTCGTCGAGATAATAGATTTAAGAGATTTAAAAGTAAGTTTTGATTTTTACACAAGTGAATCATTTTTAACCGAATGAATGCATTATAATTTCTTATGACTATAGAGTTAGATTATTAAAAAAGGCAAGGTGTTAAAAACATTCATATCATTGGATTATTTAAAAAACTATAATAAATATACTTGACAAACAAATTAAGAGTATATAATCCACAAATTATATAAAAATTAGTTTTACTGAGTGCACCAGGTCGCAAAGTGAAGACGCCATATTGATCAACTGTCAAAATCGAAATAGAATTTAATTTAGAATAAGAAATATTTAATTATAAACTTGCCAATATCCATAATATCATTTGTTTCTCATTATCACAACTATTGGAAAAGTTTAAAATGAATTATAAATTCACAAAAGAATAATTATTGCATACACCAGGCTGCAAACTACATATTTCCGCTATGTTTGAAAACATGTCAGAATGATGAGATGAAAAAGATTGTTTCATTCGTGTTAAAATAGTTAGATAAACTAAATTATTCCTTGCTAACTGTTAGAAAAGTACTGCATATACTTTAATTTAGAAATTGAGCCTAATATTAAATAATATTACAAACACCAGGAAGCAAAGTACATGTCCGCCATGTTTTAAAACATGTCAGAATGATGAAACAAGAAAGATTGTTTAATTTGTGTTTTTAAGTATTAAAATAGTTAGAAAAATAAAATTATCTCTTACTAATTGTTAGAAAAGTACTGTATATACTGTAATTTATAATTAGAGCCTAATATTAAATAATATTGTGAACACCAGGACGCAAAGTACAGGTCCGCCATGTTGCCCATGTTGGAATACTATCAGATAAAAAAAATTTAACTACAAAGTATTAAACTAGTATTATTCCTTGCAAATGATTTTAAATTTATTGCACACACCTTAAAATATATTTCGCGTTATTTATAATATATTTATGTCAAAATTAAAATAGGACCAGCAGGACTACAAAGTACCGCCATGTTTGAAAACTGTCAAAACAGGGAAAAATTAAAATTTAAATGATGTATTAATCATCAAAGCTAAAAAAAACTATTAATACTTGAGAAAGTATTGCAAACACCTTACTTTACTCATTTAGTTAAATATCAGAAATATTACTGTATGCTTGTCAAAATTAATAACAAACTTCAAAAGTCAAAAATTATCAAAATTGTTTAATAATTTACTATAAAATAGTAAAAAAACTTAGATATGCCCTACTAATTGTTAAAAAGTATTGTATGCACTTTATAACTAGCACAAAAACTATATTAATCACTTTAACAAAACAATTAAATCATAACAGTTTAGTCGTAACAATTTATAAAAACCTTTTATATATAGAAAAAATTACAAAACCGAGAAGGATTTTATGTTTGACCAATGCAGTTCATTATATTCCACCATGTAGACTTTATATAATCAAAAGTGTTATTCGTACTTAACCACCGACTATATGAAATGTTTATGAAAACATTTTGTACTTGGAAAATATTAAAAAAAACTGAGAAGATTCTAGGCGTTGTCATTTCGTTCTGACAATATTTTCATAGTCATTAAGTAATCATTGTAATATTATTCAAACACAACCTTTGATGGTATAAAATCTTTATCTCATGAAAACATTTTGTACTTGAAAAATATTAAAAGACCGAGAAGATTCTAGGCTTTCTCATTTCGTTCCAATAATATTTTCATAGATAGCCTTTAAGTAATCATTGTAATGTTATTCGAACACAACGTTTAATAGTATAAAATCTTTATCTCATGAAAACATTTTGTACTTAAAAAATATTAAAAAAGACCGAGAAGATTCTAGGTTTTGTCATTTCGTTCTGACAATATTTTCAAAGGTAGTCTTTAAGTAATCATTGTAATATTATTTGAACTCAACCTTTGATGGTATAAAATCTTTATCTCATTAAAACATTTTATACTTGAAAAATATTAAAAGACCGAGAAGATACTAATTTGTCATTCCGTCCTGACAATATTTTCATAGGTAGTCTTTAAGTAATCATTGTAATATTTTAACTCAACTTTTGATAGTATGAAATATTCAACATTACTCGAGTTTTTGATTAAAATGCATAAAAACCTTTAAAATGCATAACTGGAAAGACTTTATGCTCTCTTAAACCGTTCTGAGCATATTTTTAAACTAAATTCTGATATAAAGTCTTTATGCAATCAGAGAAGACTTGAAGATTAGATAAACTTAAATGAACACAGTGTGTAGAACAAATTCTGCAATGATTTGAGTCTAAAATCCATAAAAAACTTTAAAAATGCATAACTGGAAAGACTTTACCCTCTCTCAAACCGTTTTAAAGATATTATTGGACTAAATTCTGATATAAAGTCTTTATACAATCAGCGAAGACTTTAAGATTAGATGAACTTAAATGTGTGTAGAAATGTACACGAAAGAAAAGTACTGTGCACATATCATTCAGACCTTTTCTTCAAACATCCTTGTCGAGTAATCACCGTATACAGAAAAAAATCATCTGCTACAAAATTAGTTAGCTTAGCTCTTAGCTAAGTGGATGTATAATTTGTAATGCTAAACCAGTAGCTAAAAATAATGAAATATATAAGAACAATAGTTTTATAACATAAACATAACCCCTATATGGTACTATTTTATCAAATATCACCATGTCATTTTCTCTATTAACCTAAAACTTACATGACAGCTTAGCCTCAGCAACGACCACCAAAACCGCCAAAGCAACCAAAATCCTCTTCATTTTCTCCAAATATATTCAAAATCACCAGAAAAAACTTAAAAACTGCGTATTATAAATGTCCTCTGACTTCTATCCTCTGTCGTCGACTGAAGAGACCTTTACACACACTGGCGTACAAGGCCTTGATTACAAATATTAAACTGTACAAAAGATTAGTAATTGATAAGAGGATTCAAATTGAAATTAAAATCGTCCATCGATGGAATATAATAGAATGCCGAATGATTTTTCTCGTTATCTTTATAATTCTCGAATTCGTGTGTCACAGAACAATATGACTGGTGCTAACGACGTACTTGGAACCGTGACTTGTCAAAACAAGTCGATGTAAATATAGTGGGGTAAAAGGATAATATCGATTATGGTAATAGATATATAATTCAATATACGTGCATGCAATTATTAAAGTAACTATTTTTAATACGAATTGTGTTTTACATTTGTATTTATTATACTAAAATCATTATGAAAATTAAAACGATGCTTTTGCAGTTGGTACCTTGCTACCTAACTATCTTTATGCTCATCCAAAACTTTTACAAATTTATCAATGCAAAATTTAACTAGTTGAAAGAGGCATCTTGCCTTAAGGCAAGTTGCAAGAACTTCCCAAAATATATAATTATTGCCTTGATATTATTTAGTTATTAACTTTCCGTAGAGCAAATTGTAGTAATCGCAAAATAATCGAAAATGAAAATTTTTATATATATTTACGTTTCAAAACCTTCTGAACATTTTGGCATACCTTAGAAAAAATGGATGTATGCGTATGTGTGTTTTTTTTTGTCTAGCGAAGGAAATGCCTTTATGCATCCCAGACTGTATGTGTGTTTGCGTGTATGTGTGTGTGTTCGGATTCGATTTTCAAAAAATGTCAAAAATTTATAGTTTCTCAAAAATCTAATTTTTTCAGAGTAATTTTTTTTCAAAATTGTTAATCTTTCTAAAAAAAAATTTTTTTGGTACGGGTAGATCCAGCAATTTGCCTTAAGGCACGATGCCACGAGCCGTTAGTTTAAATTAATGGTAACATTTTTTACACAACTTGAAAAATATTGTAGACTGCTCATTTATTTTTTTCCTAATTCCAAAAAATGACTTATGGAATTTATTTCAATGGCTTTTGAATTTGTAAAATAACGATAAAGCTATAGTAATATTGTAGAAATAAATGGCAAATATTACAAAAATTCACTTATCGTTTGACACTGAACTGAAAATATATATTTCGAGTACAAATTTAAAATATTTCGATCAAGTTCAGACCCCACTAGTACCAACACAACGTCACTTTCAACACTCATCCCTTCCTCCTCGCAAAACAGTACACTTCCATCAAAAACATTTATTATCAGAAAGTCCTTCATAGAGACTGTCACACAGTTAAAGTGTATTCAAATCAAATAATTCCATAAAACTATTGTAGAAAATAATCCAACACAGGTATATAATTCATTTAAATATAATAATTGCACTTAAACATTTTCATATTTTGGTGTTAATGGCGAATTTGTTACAACTGCGTCGCATGTAAAATGTCAATTTATTCATTATTTCTTAATGAATTTTTTGTTTTTAGTTAGATAAGATGAAGTCTTTGGTGCTCTTGGCCGTTTTGGCTGTAGGTTTTGCAAATGCTGAATATTGTTACGATGAAAGTGTTACTGCTTGTTCATCGACTGCCAATAAGGGTAAGTTTGTACTTGAATATTATATATATATATATATATATATATATATATATATATATATATATGTGTATATATATATATATATATGTGTGTGTGTGTATATATATGTATATATTATAGAATTTTGTGATATGAGTGGAACGAATATTAAATGTTAAGTATGAACAATACAACACTCAGATTTTTAACACACACTTTATTTGGTAATTACAGACGTTTCGAGACCATGGTATGCCTCATCTTCAGTGTAATTTCAAAAACAGTTACTTATATACTACACATTCTTTCACATTTTATTTAAATTACATTTAATTTTTGAAAATACAAAAAGCATCAACTATCACTTACAGAGCTTGACACAGTACTAAAACATGTGAATAATTACATTAATATTTCAAACAAATCTTAAATATCGAGATGAAGAGACAGGATGGGTATTATTATAATAAGTATAAAAGTAACTGTTTTTAAATTACATTGAAGATGAGGCATACAATGGTCTCGGAAAGTCTGTAATTATCAAATGAAGTGTGTGTTAAAAAACTGAGTGTTATATTGTTCATACTTTACATTTAATATATATATATATATATACAGTGGCGTCGGAACCAAATTTTTGATGGGTGGGCTCGTTTTTTTTTTTTTTTAGATAGGCAGCCAGTGGTCTCGTTTTTTTTTTCTTAGAGATATTATCCCATATAATTTTTTGAAATTGATGGGTGGGCTGAGCCCCCCCATCAAAATTCATGGGTGGGCTCAAGCCCACACAGCCCACGCGGTTCCGACGCCACTGTATATATATATATATTGAGAGGATTTTTTGTTTGACGTTGAAACTATGGGTGTATGATTTGATACTTTTATATATATATATATATATATATATATATATATATATTAGTAAAGTTAATGTCTATCAAATTATATATTCGATAAGTAGATAGGAGTTGCAAAAGTTTGAATTATTTTCTATATGCAAGATAGGTTAATATTAAGTGTACAACTTTGTTTTATTTATACAGAAAATTGTGTAATAAGAACTTAATGAGGTGACTCATATATTACAATATGACTCTATTTTACAATAAAGTCTCCAATTAAAAAAAATTAAAGGAATCGAAATGGTACACCTAATACATAATAGTTTTACCAAGTTTAGTTTTAATCATAATTTTCTGTGGTTTCATATGCATCAATTTGATTTTTAGCACCATTTTCTAAATAGTTTGCTTTGTACATTTACCATATTATGTTCAATTACTTATCAAATTTAAATATATATCTAACTAAATTTTTTTTGAACAATCTAATGTAATTAATCAAAGATGATGAGCAATATTTCTTACAATCTTATGTTTAAGATTGTAATTTTTACAACCACATATTTATAAATTTGTTCCTCTTTTAAAGAATAGTCATTATTATAATAATCCTGCCTAAAATTATTGCAACAAGAAAATTGCTAATAATTGTTGCTAGAGTCTTTAATTACTTTTCTATTATAAAAATTTATATCTATGAGCATAACTGAATATAGTTTGTCGATGTTATAATTTCAAAGCACAACTTACATAAAAAACACTAAAACTGTAATAATTGCATTTTATATATGACTAATAATATTTCAATTGTATTATAATTATATTTTCAAAACAGTTTCTCCACCTACAAAGAATTGCTTGTACTTGCAATGAGTGGTTCTAATCTCAACTATTACTGGATTCACCGATTTTTACCAAATTTTATATTATTTTATATGAAGTACTATCTGTTTTTCATACCTCTAAGTGATAAGGGTTGTTCACCCTTAAATATTTTTTTTGAATTTTTGTACAATTTTATTCTTTATAATGTCACATACATATATAATACATACAACACTGAATTTTCACTTTATCACCCTATTTTTTTAAAGACATTTTAGTAATTCGACAATTTTTTTATCCCCAGTCATTGAATATTTTTGACATAATTTTAGTTCACACTTTTGAGTTTGATGAAAAGCTTAAATCTTTCTTTAAAGAACAATTTATTTACATTAAGGGTTGTCCAACCCTAATATTTGTTTTTTAATTTCGGGGTCAATTTTCTTTATTTTAACTTTTTTTAATACCGAATTGACAAAAAACATACAACTCTTTTTACTTCAAAATACTGTTTTTTATCAAGGGTTGTCCACCCCTAATATTTTTTTTTAATTTTTAGACCAATTTTCTTTAATTTAATACTCTATAATTTGAAATTGAAAAATATATATAACTCTTTATATTCAGGAACATTTATATGTGGCGTGCTTTGCCGTGGGTAAACTACTCTAATTTTTATACTATTTATATTATACTAAACATTTTATACTAGAAATATTTTTTATGGCAAAACACCGTTTGTCGGGTCAGCTAGTACATATACGTACATAAATCCTGGAGTTGTCAATAAATTGATTTGTTTCTTTTGCAAACAATTAATCCAATAAATAAGAAATAATAACTTAATTGTACATCCTCAATTGCGACGTTTCGGAACTGCATATGCTCCATCATCAGGATTTTCTGTCGAAAACATTGACAAATATGTAAAATAATATTAGAAATTGAGAAGCAAAAATTATTTACCTGCAATATTGATCTATAAACCTGATGATGAAACGTTTCTAGTTCCAAAACGTCGTAACTAATGAAACTAATTGTTTTATATTTGTATAATTAAAATAAAACTTTATAAATATACCTTATATATATAAAATTCTTCTAAAAGGATAATCCTCCTGAAGGATTATTCGGATTTTGATAAATCTTTCTCAAGTTTGTTAAGGGAATTTTTTGAGGATGTATGTGATTATAAAAATATAGCAATATTATAGAAATAAGTGGAAAAAATTGCAAAAAACATGTCATTGAAGATATTTGAGACATTGTTTGGCATTGAAAACAAATGAAAACTGTCATCTGCCAAAAATTTCAATTCACTTATGAGCCTAGACAATATTGGAATATGTATAATAAATTCATGACTATGAATAAGAAAAATGAAATGTCTACATTATTATTGCCAAAAAGCAGCTGATATGTGCCAGAAATAAAAATAATATAAGATACAGTATATGAATGGCAGATTGAATGATACACACATGAACAGGATTTGACAAATTAATTCACTTAAAATATGAAAATAAGTAATAGTCAGGGCTGATCCTACCTTGATTGGAGTGCACGTCTTAGGGGGCGCCAACACAAGATTCGGATATAAAATTTTCAATATATATATTTTTTTCAATATAATTCAAGAAATATATAATTTCTTTGCATACTAATCTTTGCACAATATTTTTAAAATACGTTAAAAATTTCACTTTAAAACAACAAATGGGAAAGTAAAGATGAATACATACAATTCGGCCCTCACGATATCGATTAGGAGAAGTTTAAGATGCAATTTTGGATATCTTGAATATTAAAAAATTAAATTAAAA